ATTAATTGTCTTTTTAACATTTGTCAGTTTGATGCCAGGATTTGAAATCGTGATTTTCCAATGCCCCAAATTCATCTTCCCATTTCGTTTCATTCATTTACTTGGCTAACCTGAGTCAAGAGCAAAAGACAGAAATTAGGTTGACTGCCGACATACTTCATTCGGTTCTCTTCTCTAACACCATGTAAAAGAAAAATCCTTTTGCTGTGAAGTAATGGATAGTGGCTCGGTTTGAGGAATCGGAAAGCAGAGTTCGAATTTCAGTCGGATCCATTGCATTCATTTACGTGCTAATACCCTTGGGAAAGATATGAATCCTCTTCACAGAAGACACCTATGGGTAAATAGCGTCTTCAGTCAATATGTGTACTATTTAAAACAGCAGCCACGGTTTAAACAATTTCTGTATAAGCTGAAGCTTCATTTATTCTTTAGAAGAAGACAGCGCAACAGAGAATGATCGAACCTCCTCCACTGTGTCGTGTAGAAAATGTCTCCAAAAAATATCCTTATCGTGCCAGTAACGTTGGAAGCCATTAGGACCATCCAGATTAATTAAATATAATTATATATTAGATTATAATACCTTCTTCCAGTTTTGTATGTCTCACGTTTGGCGCTTCTCAGCAAAGTTTAACTGATCTGTTTTTAGTTGTATTCAGAAGGAGCCATAGACTTTTGAAGACGTATAATCTATTAAAGCCTTTCATTTTAAATGCCGTTTTATTGATCTTGAGCTGCTTTCTTTTCCCCATGGTGGAGCAATGGATACCGGCTCGGATTGAGAAATCGGAAAGAATTAAATTCCAGTTGAATCCATTATTATTCATTTACGTGCTAATACCCATGGGGAAAGGTATGAATCCTCTCCCCCAGCTAAGGGTAAATAGCAGAAATACCGGGTTCTATAGCCTAAAAAAATGGCAACTGGTCTACCGCAGAAAGAAATTCACAACCTACTGCGAGAAAATAAATTTGCCTTTTTTTTTTCATGTTTCGAAAGATACATGATCGCCTAAACGTGTATCACGCATGGCACATAACTGACTGATTAGGAAGTTATTATAAAACGAGTTTACCTCGCATGAGTCTGAGTGGGAAATATTCTCTATGGTCTTCTGAAGTTAGGTTCATTTTTAGGCAGGCCGTCTCACATTTTACCGTTTGATGTTAAAGCTCAACGTATATGTTGATCACTTGTTTTAAATTTAAACACTGAATAGCATAGAGATTAGAATGCATGTTGGTTTCTTTTTTGTCACGTTGGGCGCGGATCCTAATAGCGTTCATAGCACGATACTTCTTTTTCCCCGCGCAGCAGAGAAAGAGTGTTTGATCATCTTTGCCCCTGTTCTGCCATCGACTCACACAAATTCGTTAAATAGCTCTGTGACTGTGAGATTCTCTTCCAGTTTTCTTTTATATCTTTTCAGGACATGGGCGATCATGTCTCTCCACAAATTCCTATCCCTTGTAACCCCTAAGCAATGCCTGGCTCATTACTGTCTCATCACTATTGCTTTCTTTTCTCTTTTCCAAATCTGGGGTCCTCCCGTGTCAATATTAAAAATGCCTCAATAATAAAATAAAAATTATGTTTATATAGTGAAAGACAAATAGCATTCGCTAAAATTCCTGATCTGTTTTGTCTAAAATTTTATCAAAGCTAACTTTGGTGTATGGTCAGAATTTAGATGGAGTACGTCCATTAATGAACGAATATTTGATTATGAAACTAGGTTTAGCACTTGCCACTGATCAATAACTAACATACTAATTTGGCAACTCACAAGTAATGAGTTGGTCGTTCCTGGGAGTTTGCGGGGGTTGCATAGCCCAATGATCTCTGAGAACGATGTCGTCGGGAGTTCTAAACTCCTGTCGGCAAGGTCGAAGACGAGGACCCAGACTAAACGCGACCAACCCTAAAGACACCAACAGTGAAACAAGCTGATGATTACAACAGATCTGGTTGAACCAGCGGACAAAAGAGAATATGCATGATGGATATGCTGCAAAAGATGCCACTCGAGTCACCGGCAGTCCGTTGCAGTTTCATAAGTGGATTCTGATTATCTCATCCCATATGTAGCGCAGAAGTCATGAAATCAAGTGCGTGAATCACTTCATGGCAAGTTGGGGTTAAACAAATTCAAGCCATCTGTACACTCCGTTGGAATTTAAACACATACGGAAACTTAACATATGCAACATACTCGTAGAAACTACAAGTATAATAGTTACATCCACGCGTAAAAAAATTTAAAGTAATGGGAGCACATATAATAAAAAGGGAAAATCCAAGAATCAATAACATTGACTATGATCACGGCCAGAACATGTTGATCGTGTTTGGAAAATTTTTAATTTTATAAATTCAGATACATACATAAAAACACACATTCAGTTAATAATAAAAAAAATTAAAATCGTCCTTGATAATTTATGTCCAGAAAAGAAAAATTATATGGACACAAGAAAAATTGTTTAATCACACTACCTTGGCAATCGTCTTTAAAAAATTACATATATATATATATATATATATATATATATATATATATATATATATATATATATATGGGGGGCGTGTGTGTGTGAAAATATATAGAAAAAAACAAATTTATTTTAAAATAAATAATTTCATATATATATATTTCTCACTGGTAGCACGACTCGGAGATTCATGCACCACACAATCTTCAGGTGCTCATGCTTCAAATAGAGGAATAAGTAAATTATCTCGACCAAATTTCCAGCCCTTCCATCTTTACTCTGCATAAGTGAATAGGTATTGTTATCAAAGAGGGGTGTTTTCATTTAAACCCTGTTTCTTTTTTATCGTTAATATATTGACCCCGTATCTGTTTTATATGCTTAAACTGTTTTTGTAATAGTGTCCGTAACATCGATAGGCTTTCTTTACAGACAGACCAAGCCCACATCTGTCGCCTCTCTGTCTCTTTTGTTCTTTCACTATGTACGCAACCGGATCAATATATCCATAGCCTACTGATTAAAAAGAATTTATTTCACTTTTTTTTTTTCAATATAATCTCTTTCTTTTCCAATGTACTTAATAGTCCTTGGTATGACGATAAACTACATCCGGCATCAAGGCCTCTGGTCGAGAGATTGGAGCATTTGAGGAGCGTGGAACTGTCTCTTAACTACTTTTTCCCAGGTTCACCCTGGGTCGGAGTGGTAGCAGCTGTTACAGCCCAAGCTGTTCAACCAAACACTATGAAAGTATAAAAATACATTTTCATAGTAAAAATACCAGCAATAATATTTATATAAGAAAAATTACCAATACATATTTATGGTAGAATTACCAACAATACATTTTTGAAACATAATTACCAACAATAGATTTTATAACAAAATGACCAACAATACATTTTATCTGTAGCTGAAGCCATAAAACTATGTTCAAAATATTTAGATTCCGGCATTAAATAACCCATAGAGGTTGATATGCAGCTAAACGAAGTCAAATCTAAAACCAATGTATCGAACAGTTTCCCATTAATAATATAAATCGAACACGCTATATCAAAATTTACCTACCAACTTATTGACTGATGATCATAGAAAATCTATGTGTACGTAAATATTTACCCGGCTTCCCCACTAAGGCAGGATATGACACGAGGTCGTTTTTTTTTTTTTTTTTTTTTTTGTTTGTTTTTTTTTACGCGGGGATCTGATACACATACAAATGCGTATAGTCCAAGGCTAAAAAATGCCTAATCTCCGCAACCACTGTCACACTGGCACCGATACTACACCGACCCCCACTTCTCTAGTGTGTAATGAGGAAAGGGCTGCTCAAGGGAGGAATCCACGGGACCGCGTGCCTTCTAAAATAACGAGAACAGTTTACTCCACTTCCGGCCCAAAAGCGTTAACCCCTGTGCCGGAAAGTTCATGCGATATGGGAATTCCATCGTCAGATATGTTGCCAAATTGATTCGGACAATTCTTTCCAAAGAAAGGAATGATAATAGAAATGCGACCTTTTATTTCATGACAGAATGATTTCGATAGACATATAAGATATTCGGCGAGACACGGGAAATTTTGAGTAACTTGGCAGCTGAACATATTAATCTGTTCAACTCTTCCCGAACGTATATTTGGGCGATCCATTCAGAGATTTTTCCCTACTAGTAGTACCATGTGTAATCACCTTCTACTTAAAATGAAGTATCGAGAATGGCACGCTAAAGACCTTCATGATCATGAGAATCCCCAACCAACTAACCAATAAAAAGAGCGGCTATCAAGACGTATGTTTCAATCAGTTGCAATTTTATCTTCGGTCTGTTTTGCTTAACATGTATGCGATGTGTGTGTGTTTGTGTGTTTGTGCGCGCGCGTGTGTGTGTGTGTGTGTATAAACTGTATCCTCATGACCGAAGACAATCAGTTATGTGCAGCTCGTAGTATGAGAATTTGATTTAAAACATCTGTACACAAATAGATTAACAAAGTCTAAGAAATCAAAATAGATACTAAATAATCTGTTTATAGCTGGAGATAAATTCTTATTTCCATCCTCTCAAACAAAGATGTGTTAAATAGATTAAATGATACATTTGAAGAATCTCAAGTAGATAGATAGATAGATAGATAGATAGATAAAAAGAAAAGTGAAATAGATAAAAAAATGATATACATAGATAAAGTGAGATAGATAAAAAGAAAAATCAGATAGATAGATAGATAAAATGAATAAAGATAGAGAAAGAAAAATAAAAAAAAATATACATAGATAAAAAAAATCAGATAGATAGATAGATAGATAGATAGATAGATAGATAGATAGATAGATAAAAAGAAAAGTGAAATAGATAAAAAAATGATATACATAGATAAAGTGAGATAGATAAAAAGAAAAATCAGATAGATAGATAGATAGATAGATAGATAGATAGATAGATAGATAAAAAGAAAAGTGAAATAGATAAAAAAAAAATGAAATATAGATAGATAAATCAGATAGATAGATAGATAGATAGATAGATAGATAGATAAAAGAAAAGATAAATAGATAAAAAATGATAGATAGATAAAGTGAGATAGATAAAAATCAGATAGATAAATAGATAGATAGATAGATAGATAGAAGAGCGCAAAATAGATAAAAAAATGATATACATAGATATATATAAAAAAAAATCAGATAGATAGATAGATAGATAGATAGATAGATAGATAGATAGATAGATAAAAGTCGGATAGATAAATATATAGATAGTTAAACAGAAGAGCGCAATAGATAAAAAAAGTGATATATATAGATAAATAAAAAGAAAAAATATAGATAGATTGATAAAAAGAAAAATTCGATATATGGCTAGAAAGATAAATATAAAAGTTAGATAGATCGATAGATAAAAAGAAAAGCTAGACAGATCGATAGATAGAAGATAAAATGAAAAGTTAGATAGATAGATAGATTTCATTGTGAAATCCTTGACTTGCATAATAAATTCTGGCATAGTGCATATCACAATATTTTTCAACATTTTTTATCCCACAACACGCTCTTTCTCTTATCTTGAGCACTTTATCGTGTAAATATAGCATACCATAAAACAATATTTCTTCATATATATATATATATATATATATATATATATATAACACACTGTTTCGATGCATTACAGCTATTCAGTGTACTAGACACATTGTTTCAATGCATTAGAGAAATTCGCCCAATTTGGCATCCAGACGAGAACCTACCACTAAACTAAGGCGCACTTGATCTCAATGTGGTATATATATATATATATATAGATATCCTATATATATAGCTATATATATATATATATATATATATATATATATATATATATATATATATATATATATATATGTGTGTGTGTGTGTGTGTATATATATATATATATATATATATATATATATATACACACACACACTATGCGCCAAATTTACAGCCTATATATATATATATATATGCTCTACATTTGTATCGAGCACTATTTTTTAAAGATAAAAATAACAAAATACTAAAGAACTTTGGATTATTTTTACCTAACGAGTTCTTTCCTATTTTCTATATATTTTACACACACACACACACACACATATATGTATATATATATATATATATATATATATATATATATATATATATATATATATATATATATATATATATATATATATATATATATATATATATATATATATATATATATATTGTTTTACCTTTTATATTTTTATTTTTGCTTTGTCCTGGACATTGATATTCTATCCTTAAAAGGAAATATATATATATATATATATATATATATATATATATATATATATATATTGTTTTAATATTATATATACATATATAGAGAGAGATGTATAGATATAGATATGTGTGTGTGTATGTGTGTGTGTGAAGAAAGGGGATGGATTTTTTTATTTATTAATCCGACATATATATATATATATATATATATATATATATAGGCGGATATTTATATACATTAAGAGCGAAGGTAATAAAATCTCAGTAAAATAAGATTTAAAATTGGCACACGTTCATGTGTCTGCAAAATCTAAACGTGTATTTGTGCGTGTGTGTACGAATGACTACTTAACTGTATTCATGACAGAATGCAATCACATAAGCCATCAAACTGAATGAAGCTTCCCTCACAATGAATCACAATATTCCGATTTCTTTTTATTTTAACCGAATATAAAATCTTTCTCCTTCGGATTTTAGAAGTATACAGACGTATTCGTTTCTTGACATCTGGAATATGTCATAGCACTTTTTATTAGAAATTATGTAAGTTTTGTTTTGCAATTTTGTTTTTTTTTAGTTTCAGTTTTTTTTTTTTTTTTTTTTTAACCAATTCGCCCCAAGCAAGGCGATAATGCTATTAAGGTGCAAGGGGCTACTGGCAGTTAAAGAGAATAAAAAATAGTTCAGAAGGAACCGTAAATCCTAAACAGGAAACAAGGAATAATCCCCTACTCCTGTTCAAAAGACCGGAGAGGCGCATGAACAGGACGGCAGGAGAACCTTTCTACAGTTTCAGATATCAGGTATTATATCACCCAATAAATAAATAAAAAAACTGCAATAGACAGATATAGACTTGGATTCATGGATTTTAGAAGTAAATGAGTTTATCTGTTTGTTGAAACTGGTTTTATTGATTTTATTAGTTATTCAAAACGCACAAAGAAGATAGATAGGAAAGTGGGATAGATAGATAGATAGATAGATAGATAGATAGATAGATAGATAGATAGATAAAGAAGGAAATTTAAATAAAAAAGCAATGATGATAAAAAAGAAAGTGAAATAAATTTATAGATAAAAAAGGGAAATAATATAGATTTATTGATAGAAAAAAGGAAAAGAAAGATAGATAGATAGATAGATAGATAGATAGATAGATAGATAGATAGATAGATAGATAGATAAAACTGTTTTGGGTATAATTTATTTTAGGAAGATATGAAAGCACTGACTCATTGAAAAGTAAGCTTACTGGTAAAAAAAAAAAAAAAAAAAAAGACATTGCAACAGATGTCTTTAAGTTTCTGATAGATAAATCTAATTTACGACTGGTCCAATGACCGGCCATGAAGGCTTGATTTGAATCTCACCGAGGCCGATTTATAAGATCGGCCTGGGGAAGACGAGCCCAGCGTGCGACACAGTTAGGTAGTACCTGAAAACTATATCACGACCTGATCCAAGACGTGTGAAAGAAACTGATTCAATGAAACTGTTTGAAAGCCGTCAATGGTTGTACTAGAACGAAATTACAAGTCAACGTGGCCGATGGTTTGATCTTATTGGTCTTGTTCAACAGCTGATTATGTCATATTATGTGCTGTACCTTAGAAACTGTAATTAAATTCCATATAGTTGCAGTATAAAACACGGTTTGCTCTTTAGGTACAAAAAAACACATATGTTATTGAGCAGCTATCTGTAACTGGAATTAGCTATTCACCATAGTAGGCTGACGGATATCTACTACTACGATTGACAGCTATACACTGACTATAAAAGATTGATTGGTTAAATAAATGGTTAATTTTTAAAATATGCAAATATACTGATTTGTTAGGATTATTTAGTAACACAAATTAATATAAGCAGAAAAGGAAATTTTTTTTTTTCATATATATATATATATATATATATATATATATATATAAATGAACATAAGTCAACACTTAAGGCGACAGTCTGTTTTCATGAAATGATGCAATCGTCAGGCCGGAGAGGCGCATGAACTGAATTCGGCAGGAGAACCTATCTACGATTGCCTTCCTTATTGCATCTAGCATGAAACAAACTGTTATTTAATGTTGATTTCTATGTTCGGTTTTATTTTTACACATAAAATCTCTGATATTGAGCACTTTATCCCATAAATGTAGCACATCTTAATAATTAACCATATTATATATATATATATATATATATATATATATATATATATATATATATATATACAAGTGACAATTTTTACTATACAGTTACTTACAATAAAAATTAAATTAATAAGTCTTTTAATCAACAGTCCAGAAATTTATTATTAAAATGGTTCTATTTAATAACACTAAAATACTATGGTAAATAATATTAAATTAATTGCCGATACTTGTTTTAACTGCCTGCAAAAACCACTTCCTCCAATACTTCGATGTTTATTAAAATGTTTTTATATTTTACATTTACACACACACATACACACATATATATATATATATATATATATATATATAATCATCCACAGAAAGACTTTTTTATTTGTTTCACATGATCATCAATGAGGCTAAACATCCGATTTATCAAGCTGATCGAAACCCTACCGATTAGACATCAGTTTTTGAGATTCTAAATCCAAACTATCGTCGCACTTATCTGAAAGATGTCAAGCTCGGAGAAAGGCGTTAAGTAGAATACGCATGCATTAGCAGCAGCAGCCACTGTTTATAAAATCACCCCATCCTTTTCCAAGAACTCAATCAAATTATTTCTCTTTTATAGTCATCCACAAACAGTCTGTTTCTCTGTATCACAGCTCATCAGTGTGGCTAAACATCCGATAATATATATTTCTATGTACTGTGTATATGTGTAACTGTGTGTGTGTGTGTGTTTGTGTGTGTGTGTGTGTTGTGTGTGTCTGCCGGCTTGAGCTCTCCCAAAAAATGATAATAAAATTTCTATGATTTCCAAACCCAACGTATGCCGTATCAGACGGGGATTTTATTTTAAAGGGGGATGAAAGGTTTGGAAAATCCTGATTTAAAGTCTTATTTATTTGGCATTTTTAAAACAAAAATTCAAACTGATAGGCAAGACATCCAAGTTAAAAATTAACATAAAAAAACGTTATTCCGAAAAAAACAAAAAATAAAAAAAAAAAAAAAAAATAGTCGAATTCAAATTCAGATTCAAACAGTTTCCGCTAACTTTTTACCAATGCATTTGAGACACGCATCTCTTATCTCTTTTCTCGCAATACGGTAGTTGCTATTGTGAATCTATCAAATTCATGCACGGGTATTCAATACTAAATGGAATTTTGTGATTTTGTCTTATTTGTATAGAAGATGAAACAACTCATATAATGTGAGGCAAGTCAGAGAAGCTGACATGAAATTTAAACAAATAGCCTACTTCCTGTAATAACAATAAAAAGATAGATTAAAATAATTTCCATAAGAAATAGATAAATCTACTTTGTAAGGTAGCATTATTCCTCCCGTTAGCTTGCATATGTATATGTATATTCCCGCACCATATATACATAGAGGAGGCACGGTGGAGTAATGGATAGCGGCTTGGAAAAATTGAGGAATCGGAGAGCCGAGTTCGAATTCCAGTCGAATCCATTATATTCACTTACGTGCTAACACCCTTGGGAAAGGTGTGAATCCTCTTTTCTTCTCCCTCCAACTATGGGTAAATAGCAGGACAGATAAAAACACTATAGCCTTTTATGGCAACTGGTCTAGGAGAAGGAAAACTCTGAATTCAAACCTGCTCTTAGAGGAGGGTGAATGGAGTCTCTTGAGCCTTGGTTGGCAATCCATTTAGTGTTGGTGTCACGATAAAAACACCCTTGATAGCCCTAGCGAAGCATCAAGAATTAAGTTACTTGACAAGATTATGAACTACACTAATCAAAGTGTTAGTGAGTTCAATCTCGGCTGAGACCGCAAGATGATGATGATATATACATACGCAAGATGATGATGATATATACATACTGTATTATAAAAAATTATAGCACGCACGAAATATAATATATAAAAAAAATGGAAATAGATTTGACAGCCTCCAGTGTAATGAGTTAGGAAAACATCTCTCATCCACACATCTATCATCATAAATTTCAGAATAAAACTAAATTTTTTATTACCACTTAGACAGAAATTCACTTTTTTCAACACCCCAGAAATGAGATCAGGGCTCACTTAATTTTTTTACAAACAATGAAAGTTAAAATCTTTTTTTTATTTGGTTATTCGATTTAAAAATTTATTCCTTGTATTTGCCTGAAGAAGGTCACGAGACTGGAAACGCATGTAGCAGAAATATGAAGAATAAAATATGATTTATACACTAAAACAAATACACACATAAATTCTAAACGTTTTTCAAATCTCTTTTATATATATATATATATATATATATATATATATATATATATTTTTTTTTTAAAATATACTGATACTTATTATTAACACCCAACACACACCTACCCAATTTAAACAATTCGCCCTAGCTGTTACCATGGAAATTTTGATTTCAATTATTAAAACACGTAAATTTCAGAAATACGTTATTCCAAAAAAATTTCGCTTGAAGATGGAACAGAGCTTACTTTAACTCAATTTAATTCAAATAATTATATTGAAGTTTTCGGCTCTTGTTTTGAAACATGAGACTTCTTATGTCGCGATTTGGAATCATATTTTTAAATAAATAATTATATTTATGCTCTACTTTTGTATCGAGCACTATTTTCTAAAAATAATAACTAAAATACTAAGGAACTTTTGGATTATTTACCTAAAAAGTTCTTTCCTATTTTCTATATATTTTCACACACATATATATATATATATATATATATATATATATATATATGTGTGTGTGTGTGTGTGTATGTATATATGTATGTATGTATATATGTATATTCAAGTTGCTGAAATATTATGTCTATTTAATTCAATCTCCTCGAATTCTCTGATTGACTATCTTAATGTGGATGTTAAATTAACTGAAGAATTTAAATAGCTTTTTTTTTTTTTTTTAACTTTCCCAAGTATTTTTTTATCTATCCGAGATCATCTTTTCATTTGAATTGAAAAGACAAAAAATTAATGCTACTGAAGATGATCACGGATGACAATTGTTAAGTATTTTTGAAAAATAAATGAAAATAAAAGAAATAACTACGGCTCCTTCTATATATAATGAATTTAATATCACCTATTAAGAATTTTTATCAGAGAATTCTATAATTATTACTAAAATAAACAGACATAATATGTCCAGATTATTTTAAAAAAACATGCATGAATGAAGATATGGTGCCTAAATATACATATATATATGTCTGTGTGTTTGTGAGCGCGTGCACGTGTGTGTGTGTGTGTGCATTTATCTATCTATCTAAACGAAAATTTCGTGCGTGTGTGTGCATATGAATTTAGATATAAATAAAAGATATTTGTAAAAAGACAGTAAAAATAAAGACAAACTAAAACCGATGGACTTTCTCAAGATAAATAAAGTCCCTCAATTGAAATCTTTTTTTTATTATATATATATATATATATATATATATATATATATATATATGAATGAAAAAATATAGCTTTAAGGTAAGCTACATTTATGGATAAAATTGCTCAATACCAGGGATAGAGAGTGTGTTCTGAATGGACACTGGGGTCAGCAAAATTTTAGCAAAAGTCTGTTTCATGCATGAATTTAATCTTCAGAGCTGAAGATAAGCTTAGTAAATAATAAAATAATGTGTGTCGAGCGTTTTCCCCTAAAGATTGTTGAAGGTCAAATGGCATAAAAGAAGACGCCAGATGTTACCATTCAAAAAGTGATATTGAGTTCAGCATCTCCTGCTAATGCGGAAAATCTGTTCTCATCGTAAAGCTATCGTAATTTGCTTGAAAGAAGTTGAAATCAACTCAGGTCCATATTAGTTAATCACTTCATCTGTACTAAGTTTTCTTTTGGTACTATATGATCACGTCACAAATTCATGATTAATTATTTAAAACCGTTTCTCAGTTTAAGATTGATTTTGTTTTTTACGACTTACCAACCCTTTTGGGGTTAGTTAAATCCGAAATATATTTTGAATTGTAATAATTATTTCAGTTTGCGAGAGAATACTGCATTAGCATTTTGCGGAGAGAATAACAATGTT